AATGGATGTTGTTATTATTTCTGTAATAAGAATATAAAGAGATCTTTCTACCTGGCGTGAATTTTCCGAATCCCTTTCCTATGCACTTATTTATTAAGTTTACTTAACAAAGTAACATTTTAATAAATAAAAACAGTATTAACCGTTCTAAGATCTCCTATTTTGCTGACTAATCAAGTTGTAGTTAGGAAAGTAATTAACCTAACCACCACTTCGACTTTATATCATTCTTCCACAAAGTACATCGCTCTGATTACCAGCCTTCCGTATCAGCAACACAACAGATCACAGCAAGTCCTCTCACTTGTGATTTCCTTTGTAAGAAAAACCCAGATTCAACAACCTTTCCCATTCCCAAAAATCCTGTGTAAACTAAAAAGTAAATGTAACAGATGCCTGTTTTAACACAATCATTTAGAACTTTTACAAAAATTTTTGAGAATATTTTAGAACAATTAAGTTCTGATATGCTGCAGATGCAAGAAAAACTGAATGGATTTGTGTAACAAAATAAAATATGGAGAAAATACCAGTGTTACTCATTTGTTTTCCTTAATAAGGAAAATATCAAAATAGTACATAATGGTATTTACGAATCTAAATCTGTGAAAATGAGATATAGTCTTCGGTCTAATGGATTTACTTAAAGATGAAATGACATTTATTAAGTAATTCTTATTAATCAAATATCAATATTTATTTGGCAGGTATGTCATATCCTTTGCCTCTGTAAGTGTAACTACACTGCCCATGAAAATTCAAAATACTGAGCAATAACAAGCATTTATATCTTTACGATAGCATTATTTATAGCAGAAAAAACTAAACTTACCTTAAGTAAATTATGGTATAAACATTCGATAGATATTATGCTGTCATTAAAAATTATGACTAGTAAAATAAAGGTTAAAAATATGGATAGAAAAATTGCATATCTATTACTAGAGCTATTATAAAATTATACACACAAATTATAATAATAATAATGATGATGTAAGAATGAAAAAATAATGGGTAGTTTTTATTTTTCAAACTTTTGCTAATACAAATTTAAAAATATATACTTAAGTGTGGCCATGCCTAGCTTGAATGTAAGCACATTTTTAAGGTTTAATGAATATTGCAATTAGCTCGATCTCAAGGCAAAATGAAATAATTTTGCCGATTTTTCAAGCATGACATAGAAATCTGGACAACCTCAAAGAAAAGGCATTCATGGGCTCCATTCAAATATTAGCTCAAAGGCATCAAACTGCAGTTACTTTAACCAGCATAAGCCTTTGCTCTGGAATGCACGGTATGTGTGACATGAAATATATTGCCCAAAGTGCACTACTCAGTGTGAGGTCAAGGGTGAGATCCAAAAGTCACCTCACAACAAGAAGGCTGTTTTTCTCAAATAAAGTGATAATTATCATTGCTTTCTGAGAAAGGGAATAATGTAATCCCAGAGCACTTGACACTGGACTTCTCTGCAATTTTAGAGACAATGATGTCAGAACTAACAACTACCAATAGCAGGTGTGTGTGAGAATAAAATCGAGCATTCACAGCACACAGTCTTACTTGAATCGACACAAAGGGACCTAAAAGTCACCCTTGGTTCGAACCAATTATTCAAGAAGAGGGGTGGGGGAAGGAAAGGTAAATGAGAAAAATAGCACGACGTGGTTATTCATCATCATAGAAAATGTTACTGTTTCCCATTTTTGTACTTCCAGGTATAGAGGAGACAGGCCGGTAGGTAGGGAGGTAGATGACAGAGAACGTGTAGTTTTAGTATTACAGAGATTAACAAGTGAAGACTACAAAATCAGACCTTAAAAATATAATTTGGCATCTAGCTGCCTCCTATCAGTGGGCCTTACTTAAATCCCAGCTGTCGGCAAACCACATATGTATTCAGCTCTGTCCAGCCATCATCGCAGACGGTCCCCCACTGTCCCCTGTAATACACCTCCAGGCGACCCTCATGGCTGTCTTTCCCACCTGCAAGTCTGAGGGCCCCATCTGTGAGAAGAAGGAGACAAAGATGAAGCAAATCAATTCTCAGAAAAAGGGCAAAACCACATTTTTATTTCACTAGAAATATCACCATATGTAGGCCTCTCTCTAGGCCTTTTGGTGAATTATTTCGAGACTGCAGTCAACGACCTGAGGTCACTGGATTGTTTCTGAGTATGATGTAACACATATCTGTGCTAACAAAACATTCTTTCTTTTTTATTTGTACTCTTATTCCCTGAGTGGAAAAATATATTGATAGCATTCCAAAGTAGCTATTTAGATATCTCTGGATTAAACAATATTTGGGAAATTTCCTATGGCTTCAGTCTCAAGTCTGAGCAGTATTAGTTATTTAATCTTAAAAAGTAAAAAACAAACAAACAAACAAACAAAAAAACACAGTAACTTAGAAACAATAGAACATTTTAACTGCAAATGAAAAATAATAAAGTACAAGGACAGACAAAGCTATTCTGGTTTAAGAATGAGTGCTCTATCACGTCAATGCATTTATTATTCCCTAGGTGTTTATAAATTATAAAAACCGAGGCACAGGCCTCGCCTTTGTTCTTTTACTGATAATACAGACCTGAATTTGAATCTTACGAACTCAATGACTCAATGGATCTTTAGTTCCCAGAGAATCCTGTAAAGCGATTCTGGGCACATATACAATAAATTTATCCCCTAAAAAGTAGATTTAAAATCCATTTCCATCCTAAATAGTCCAAACACCCCCCAAATAAAACATAAATAATCTTGGGTAAAGGTCATACTTTTCCTGAATCTCTAGAATCTTTTAAAGCAGATGCAGGTCTCTGAACAACAGAATCACTTGTCATATTTACTATCTGCAAAGCTCTGTTGCTGTCCCAGCAACAGTGCAAGACTATCTCATTTAAAAGGCAAAAATGGAGATTCACGCTGATGACATGCTCTGGCTTAACGTCTCGTGTCAATTTCATATTTCTATTGTGCGTAAATGTGTCGCTCTGCTAATAAAAGCAACAGCGTGTATAGAGCTATGTAAATAAAAAGGTATAACTTCAGCATGTCATCAGCACTAAAAAGTTTTTCTTCTGATTTTTTTTAAAAGAAAGAGAAAAACTCAAATTTTGTTTCTTCAAATTCTTTTTACTACAGAAACAACAGATTCGTGATGACCCAGTTTCTCCTGCTTGTCCATTTCCCTCTTCTTCGTCTAAAACATGTAAGAACACACACGATGCACATCCCCCAGCACTCAGACAGGCCTTCCTTACAGCACATGACACATCCTGACAGCACGCAGAGACCCGGAACAGTCTGAAAACTGCGCACGGCAGAGCTAGCTTGGTTTCTCTGGGAGTCCGCCTCATCAGGACCCCGGCGATGCAGTTTTAACAGCTGCACACATACTCTGAGTGTCAAGTGTAAAGATGTAATGTCTGAAGTTTACCACCACACACTTGATTACTATGTATTGCAATAAAGTCATATTTTCTTATCCAGCTTTACAGGGCTGTATAGCCTTTAACTGACAAATCCAGAAATATCTATGAATTAAGGAGACAGCGTTTTAATGCATAATTTGTTAGTTCTTGTCGTTGTTATTGTTGACTTGGGGGATCTATCTGTATGCTCCGTTAGTCATATTATCCAAACTGAGAAAGGGGACCGGAAGATCAGAGCCGCTGGGTCAGAGGGCTGAAGCTCTTACCCGTCAGAGGGGTGCAGGACACGCCGGCGTCTTCCTTGTGGCCACAGTTGTGCTCTCCCCACGAGCTCTTTGGACACTGCTCGATAGCAAGCTCGTTGCCCGTGCAGCGCACTTCATCCAGCATGACCGGGCCGGACCCTTCCCCAAAATGCGCGCGGCTCCACGCTTTGGCGATGCCGCTGGACAAAGACGAGAATTCGGGTTAGACGCCGACTGCTGGCCTGACCTACTTCCTTTGCCCCTGGTAAAGGTCTGATGGTGATTATGCCACACTTGCCCTCATCAGTTCACTCCGCAGGTCGCATGTGACTTGCCGCATGTTGTTTGTTTGTTGCTCTTTATATTCTCGACCATCAGAATTGTTTCCAAGGCTATGAGTTATGCCCCGAAACTTACTTTCCCTTTTTCCATTAGTAATGGAACTGCAGATTTTTAGGAGGGCAACTGCTGAATAGAATAAAAAACACATTTCTCAGCCTTCCCTCCTTTTAGATGACTATGGTCATTTGTCTGTTGTAAAACGTACATAAATCTATCATTTTAAATATTTTTAAGTGTATACATAGTTTGGTGGCACTAAGTACGGTCACACTGCTGTGCAAGGATCATCGCCATCCATCTCCAGAACTTTTTCATCGTCACAACTGAAATTCTGCAGCCATTTTAGGTGACTAAGCTTTGACCAATAATATTTAGTAAGAAGTGTCATGTGTCACTTCCAAGAAACGCCCTTGTTTCACTTCCTCCTTCCTCCTTGTTGAGGTGATGGCTGGAGCTTGAGCAGCCACCTTGGGCCCTGCTCTAGAGGAAACTGATTAATGCCAGCAGATATGGAAACGAACTTAGAGAATACCGGAAGCTGGAGAACACAGGAGGAGGAGGCAGGGTGACTGACGCCGGCCATGGGGAAGCCAGAAAGAAACGTCAGTGGGTACAGTACACTGAGCCAGGATTAGGTGCAATGAGAATACCAGGGAACAATATGAGAGAATATAGAATTGATCCCAAACTCGTAACAGAAACAAAAATAAATTCCAGATGGTTTGAAGACCTAAATATTGAAAGAAGGAAGGGGGCGAGGAGGCAGGCAGGCGAAAAAGTTACTAGAATAAAAAACAGTTCCTATAACCTTGAGGGGCGGGTAAGACTTCCTGAGCAACATTACACACCCGGAAATCAGAACACAAAAACTAAAAAAGTTAAATTTAATCACATAAATTTCAAACTGCTGTACAGCAAAATGCACCATAATCAGAATCAAAAGGCAAACAAACTGACAATCTGGAAGAAGTATTTGAAATATGTAACAGCAACCAAAGGGGAAAAAAAAACTCCTAGAAATTAATAACAACCAAAACAATCTACACACACACACACACACACACACACACACAATAGGACAACAGAGAAGACCAAGCTGTTCACACACACACAAAATATCCTGGCAATGGACCGTATAAGATGCACAACTATAATGGCCAAATTAAAACAATAATAATGCATTCATATCTGTCACATTTTTAGATAGTTTTCAAGATTAGTATTATTTCGACACAATATTTAAGCTGAAGGTTACAACTCAAAGTTTTTTAATCCCAAGAAAAAATAACAACCAACCTTAAAATCACTTACTGGCCGAGAGTGATTCGAGACAGGCTGGGCGGAGTAACTGAGGCGTACTGTAATTCGAGTGTGTTAAAGATAACGTATGCACTCTTTAAAAGAGCATGTGGGTGTTTTATTTTCTTCCTTATATAGTTCCACATTTTCCATTGTTTATAAACATTATTTTAATGATCACGAAAATGTTTAATTGAAATAAACTCATCAGAAAAAAAACTAACGATAAATTAGAGGACAAAAAATTTAGGAAACTATAACACAAACTAGGTTTTCTAGCTCATTTTCGAGGTTACTCAAATTGAGTGATAATATTTACAGATGCACACACTCCTTCAGCCAGTCACCGGTGTTTCCTGATGCCGAGACGGGGCTGGCCTTCTGGGGGATCCCCAAGAGCTGACGACTGCCCTGTGAGAGGTCCTGCAGCGCCGGGGGGAGCACACGGGGCTCAGGGCTGGGAGGTCAAGGCCACGGAGTCGGACAGTGCTGAGCTGCTCTCTGCTCTTCCTCTACGGAAGCTGCGCCCACGCCAGCCCTGGCCGTTCGCGCATGGCAGCTGTCCCCGTGTCACCTGCTTTCTCGGCCTCTGACCACAGGACACACGTGTGGAGGAGAGGGGCTCTGATACAGCACGGTGCGATATTCACTTACTTTCTGTAAAGGCACGTGACCCATAAAACAGCAAGCCCCATAAACACTGAACTGATTCTGTCTGATCCTTATCCAAAACATTCTTACACGTATTTAGCTAATCAGATTGTATTTGGATAAAGTTGTTGTTTTTTTTTCCACAGAAAAAGACCAAATAAATAGCACCATCTGACTCACTCTCCAGGCCCAGCAACTACTATGAAAAGACAGGCTGAAGCGAGGCCATTGTCCCGTGCAACCTAATTATGTTAGGTGATAAAAGATGGGTCCTTGAGCTACGGTATCAGCTTCTGACACTTGTACCCTGTGGATAAAAGAACTCGTTTTTAATGCTCGGTCCCAGACTTCTCTGCGGAGAACCACCGTCCCTCTGCGAGAACGGGACGCTCACCGGCCGCCGTGCTCGGTCCCATGACGTCGTGAGCACTAACTCATCCACCCCTCCCGCAGCCCCGTGCCACGGCCCCAGATTTGCAGACGAGGAACCCCAGGCCCGGAGTTAAGCGGCTTGCCCGCGTCACACGGTCGCCCCATGGCCTGGCCTGTCTGGCGGCCCAGCACAGAGGGCGCTGCTACCCTCCCGCCTCCTGGGCCTTTCCTGCGTTGTGCCCGCCGCACCTCACGCACGGCCCATCGGCGCACCTTCGTTTTCTGCCAAAAGTTCACTTTCCTTTCTGTGCTGCCCTCGTCTCTCAGTCGTATATTTGTATTTTTTAATTAACACATGGCTATTTGCAAATAGTGTAACATGACAATAAAAATCCTCCATTGGGAGCCATTAACCTCCAGATTCTGGCTCTCACAGGACCGCGTGACTTCTGGGAAATCTGAGAGGTTCGCCATCCTTATAAGGATCTTAAGCAAGGTCTCTTTCCTGAGCAGTAAATCCACGTACCAGGTTATCTTTATGGTAAAATTTATAAAACATTTTGAAACATTAATAAACAGTAAAATAAAAGAGCAAAGAAACATTTTTTAAAAAAGCAATCTGTACCAGAAGAATTTTATTCTGATCACTCGATAATGTAGTTTTATATGATAACTTTAGAACCAAGAATAACCTATGAGGTGTTCAAAATTTTGAAATTCCTATGCACCTATGGCATAGACACACGATAAAACATGATGTCATAGTCCTAGCTATGCTGTTAAGAGTTTTGAAAGACATAAAGTGCTTTAATGTTAAGTGCATAAAAGGAACTCTAATTAAAATGCGTCCACCTGAAACTTCATTGTGCACATATGAATTCTCGAATTCAATTTTCTAAAATCTGGCTGCCTCCTCGCCTGCTCCTCCTCTTTCTCCGCGTTCTGGGTGAATCAAATTTCAGTATCTTAAGTACAGTAATTCTTCTTAAATTTAGGAAGCTTGCCAGCTACCAAAATCTACAGACGCCATTAAAGGATCAGGGTCAACTGAGACAGCACCTCACAGAGAGGCTGTACTCACGACTGCAGGGAGGCATGACGTAGTGCTCCTCTGGGAATTCAACATGGCAAGCACCACCGAGACAGAATCTGCTCAGAACGAGCCATATATCGAGACGAGCAACGATCCAGATGTCAGCCATTAATCACGTGCCACTTAATCTGAAAGCACTGTGCCTTTAGGGGAGCAAACCGATTCTAGAGGAAGAGCAGTTGTAGAATATTGCTTTAATGCGAATTTGTGAGAACTACAAAATCAAGTTAAAGAAAGGCTAATGGACGACGTCTGCTGAGAGCCTCAGAGCACTTACACAAAACAGATCTAAAAGAAGTGTCCACCAAGCTGGGGGGCCAGCTGCTGCGCAGGCCTGTGGAGGGCCTTTGCTGCCTTGCGTATCTGGGGACATTTTCCATTCTCATCACTTCTCCAAACATGAATCTCCTCATGCAGAAGACAGCAACGAGCTACTGCTTGAGAAAGATGTAAATGCCTAAGAAGGAATCCACACACAAGGCAGCATTAAAGCAGCCTTCCTCGTGAGTCTATCTGTAGAGATGTAAAATACAGATTCTTTCTGTGTAACAGACTGCTGTTTGTCATCATGGTTTCTGTTTAAGAGCTGTTTATGCAAGTGAAAAAAAAACTCGCTCTCAAGAGAACGTGACATCACCCATGGAGGCCGAGGGAACATGGGTCCTCACACGGTCTGTGTCACACACACTTCGTCTCCCTACTCGAATGGGCATCACTCCCCTTGGACAGTGATGAACACCTTTTGTTCTAAGCACATACCCACCAAATGAGGAAGCAAAGGTCAAATTTTAGACAAACTTCGAGGGAGAAACTGGACTTTGGCTGAAGCCCAACAACGAGTTTCCCCATGTGACTGACAGGTCGCTGTGGCTGACAAGACTGGTCACACCCGAGAGTGCTGTTAAGACTGCTCGGGAAACGCATCACAAGATTCTTCGGGATGTGACATCAACGGAACTCAGGTACAAACAGGTGAGGTACAGGGCAGGCCAAGTTCTCCCCAGGGAGCCTGTGGCCCAGCACCGAGGTGGAAGTGAGACTCTTCCTGTTTGTTGAGGAAGTAAACATGCAGTTTAAACACATGGCACCTGCCTTTGGGAATGGGAACAACAGATTCAAATGCTTAAGCAAAACAAAACAAGGGCGAGGGAAACAAACCTCAGGCCCAGCTGCCTGCAGATCACTTCTGCATCTGCGTCGTCCCACTGGTCGTCACAGACGGTCCCCCACTGCCCAGCATGGTAGAGCTCCACACGGCCCTCGTGCACACTGCTCCCGCCAGCAAGGCGCAGGACAGGGGACGCGGGACCTGGGCCGTGGGAAATGAAAACAAACAGCCACGCTTTACACAGCGATGAGACCAGGTATTAGCCTATTTCTCTGCCATTCTCAGTAACTAGATAGTATTTATTAAGCCACTTCCATCAGATGGACATATATACACATGTCCAGTATCTTTTATGATCATCTCAACCAATTAAAATACTCCAACTTGAATTATATTCACGCGAACGGCTCTTAGGAAGTAGTAGTCTGAGTTCTTCCTTCCCCGGCAGCCTCAAGGGACACACTCCAAACTTCAAACTCGAGAATACCATGAGAATTGTGCTGATGACACTGATTGTTTTATTTCCAGTAACTTGAGCATTACCGACCTGTCATCATTAAGAACGGCACTGACGTCTGTCCCACACTTGTTCTCAGTACAGAAGTGTGTTCGCATCTGTAGAAACCAAGTCGAAGTTAATGTCTAGCACGTTACGACAAGCTGGTGGACGGCAGGCTGGCAGCTTCGAACGCGATACGGAAATCCCTTTGGGCCTGCATCGGCTTCTGCTCGTTGACTCTGCTCAGAGCCACCAAGGCTCCCTACGGCAGGTCCCGTCCCCGTCCACGGTGCCCTCGTCGGCGTCTGAATCACTCCACTCCTGGCTCGTCACTCAGCTACAGCCACACTGTCTCCAACACACCTGACGTTGGATCCGTCTCAGAGTCTGCACACTCGCCAGCGACTGTTCCCACAGCTCGTCACAGGGTGCCTCCCTCTCACTGCCCTGTGACCCGGCTGACGCAGCACCCTAGGTAAGGTGCTTCCACCACTGCCTCGCGTGTCTTCCTTAGAGTGTTTACTTTGACATAAGGTTGTCCTTGATTTGATGGTTTACATGTCAACTCTCTGCCTCAACTGGAACTGAAGACAGAGGGTGCCCTTCCCTGTCACTGTGTCTCTCAGGCTCCCCCCATGGAGAAGGCACTGACTGAGTGGCTGGCAAGTGACAAAAGCCACCCACCCAAGGAGGAACGACCAGCACCGCCACCGTTCACGTGTGTCCAGCAGCAGCCGGGAGGCGCCTGCTTGTGTGCGTGGTGCCCTGGAGGTGCCCACCACCCAGGACGTGGACGGCGAGTGCAGACGGGAGGTCGCCGGGGAGGCCGCGCAGGAAGCCAGGCAGCTCGCCCACCACTGGGCCTGGGCGCTGCGTCTCTTCAGGAGAGGGCCGGCGGGTGACGGGTCTCGGAGGCAGAGGTGGCGAGGTGCGGCTCGAGGACAGAAAAGCACCAGAGCACAGCACGGAACGCGTCTGGGAGACACGAGGCAGCCTGGGTTTTCTGGGACAGAGGACTAAGGTGGCGGAAAGCACAGAACGGGCAGCACTTACCATTCGTAAAGGGATGAAGACGGGTTAACTAAGCACAACTGTCCGCGGCATTGATATTAGCTTACCATTAACTGATGGCTGACTTATGGTAGGAAACAAATTTGCATAAATTATTATGCTTATTTTTCCTTTAAAAAGCTTAGAAAATATAGAAAAATGATTTTAAAAATTGCATAAGTTTTTCATTATATTCTTCCCTGCCGCCCCTCATCCTACCACCATAGAAAAAACAGCAAAACAACTTAAAATCACCTACGACCCAGAACCATGACGGCATGTTACCCAACATTTTTTAATGTTGTGTTTTATTTTAAAACATGCGGTTTTTCTGGTTGTATAAGTAATGGTGAAAATATAGAAAAGCTCATCAACATCCCACATCCTCCCAACAGACACGCAGAAAGCGTCTGCAGGAGAATTCGGAGATGGAGCTGACCGTGCCACGCAGGGACCAGGGACACCCCGGCGTTTCCGCTTCCCTTCGTCGCCCACGGCTGCGCTCGTGCACGAGTGTCTCCTCTGTAGGTCCCGGGGCGGCACCGGACGACACGATGCCACACGTGACATCCCACCTACAAGGCCCTGCTGCTGGCCGCCCCGTGCCCACGACATGGCGCTTGGAAGCCCTTACCCCAGGCAGCAGCTCATTTTATGGACTGTGCTCTCTACGACTCAAAGGAGGCCGCTGGCGCCGTGATCGTGTTTCATTCCGTAAGCTGAAAATATGTTGTTATAGTTGCTGTATTTTACACTTGCTTTTAAGATGATTTTGTTTTGATTCTATCCTGTTTTCCACGATGGATTTTCCATATGAAACACTAAAAAAGTATTTCACAGTACACAGTATAAAATATTTCTGTAAACAAATTAGATATAATAGAAAACATGCTAAAAGCGAAGTCGAATGGAATTCGAGTGGTTAGACACACTCCCCCTGAAGACTATTTAATTAGACTGTAGAATGCGATGATTCAGACTTCGTCTGGATTTAAGCCCTTGAGGAAGTGATTTAACGAAGACACTCGTATCAGCTGGAACCCTGTGGGAAACAGTGAAGTGCAACAAGAACGAACACTCTTACCCTGGGAAAGGCTGCACGTGACGGCGGCTGCCATCTTCTGAGGACACGGCCCGCCCCGCCAGATGTCTTTTCCACACAGCAGTAAACTGTCTTCGTCTCCGCGGCAACGAACGTGGCTCCAGTAAACGGGAATAAGGCCCAGGCTGGAAAACGGGGTTTGTTTTGCGACGCCTTTTCTTCTGGAAGTACAACAATCGATGTTAGGTTTACCAGCTGTGGGCGATACTAAGAGGGGACCTGGGTGGCTCTGTGGACAGGGTGTGTCATGCGGCCCAGTGCAACCTGGAGTCTAGTCTGGACTCAGCTGCAGATCACGCTAAACCGCGAGTCTCTCCAAGCTCTGCCGTCTGATGACCGCAGGCTTGCAGAGTCTTTCCTGCTCCAATACCTGCTCCGGCCACTTAGCCAGAGTTTTCAAAATGATTCTTATTACTCCATCTAAGCAAGATCATAGCAAGACAGACGATCCAACCACATTTTAAGACCTTATATATAGTACATGCTAGCAAGACTTTGAAACCAATTAATAAAATAGTAACATGCAGATAAGCTCTGCTTTTAACTCATGTAACCTACATACTTTCACAAGCAACCTCTGATATATGCTAAGTGAAATTATATTTTAAGAAGACTAACCGCTTATCTGATTAACATGGTAACCCCTAGAACTGTCTCCATGGAACAGCTTCCATGAACCACACAGTAAATATTTGGAGTATATCTAAATTACAGATGTTTCTTAACAGCAATAAAACTGGTTGCTCTGCTCCAGTTGTGCAATTCTTTTTTTTCTTTTTTTTTTTTTTTAACAACTGCTCAGAGATGCTGTAAGCAACTGGACTGAAGTTTACATTCGCAGAATGATAGTCTGCACCCTTTCATCCATCAAGACTAGCAGTTCCCATCTGCGCTCTTGTTTCTTCTATGTGAGGGTCTCCTAGGAAATGTCATTCTCCCCTGACTCTCAGGGGTAATAAAAGCACGTGGAGATATGTATATAAAGGAAGACGCTGACACCAGCCTACGAGCTGGTTACATCTTCAGGCCCTGGGAAGAAAGAGCATCAAGTCAACATTGTCTGAGCCCAAGACCCTCATGGATGAAATCAGTAACTTGCATCCCCAGACAGCACAGCACTTGGAGGCTGCAGCCTCCCCCTCCTCTCATGCCTGATCCACGCCGGCACTGATTGTTAAAAATGAGGTAAGTAATTAAGTACGTCAACCCCATTTGCTGCTCCAATGGCATCAAAAGTCTGAACAAAACCTACAGGCCTTCCAGGCTGCCGTCACGAAGTCACTAACCACTCGCTCCCCACCGGCCCAGTGGGAGGCAGGCAAAGGTCGCACTGATTTAACTGGGGCCAACTCACCTTTCCACGCTTATCATCGTATTAAATATTATCACTCGCTGATTATTAATGCAAAATATCTGTACATTGCAAACCTTCCTTCAGTCTCTTAGACCTGCATTTTTCCTAACAAGCTATCTTCTATGCTTTTTAAAGATCTTTGATGATAAAGACCAAGAAAAATATACAGCATGTGTACTTAGAAAGCAGAAATGAGAAATAAAAACAGAATAATAAGAATAACAACCAAAACAAAACCTTTTTCCCCGAATTGGGGAAAGCCTCGGGCACGGGCCCAGAAGGGCCGGCCTGGTGGAAGTCAGCGTGCCCTGCTCCCCATCCTGACGCGGAGGAGCCGGGAGCCCCGTGGGATGACCTCGCATCACCTGGGGAATGCCTGGACATCACCCTGGACCCAGCACGGGACAGGAGCACGGATACCGGCTCCTTCACACACAGAAAAATGGGGCTGTGGGTGGCTGAGAGGGGAGAGTTAAAGCAAATGACAGTGACCTCGGGCTGCGTGGCCGCTGAGAAATTACAGTTCTAGAATCTAATTCCCCGCTTCCCAGGACTAGATAATTATTCGGTTAAAGGCAAAGCCCAAAAGGTGCTTTTGCCCTCCGGCCGCTTAACATCTGCCCATGTCCTGGTCGGCAGGGGGGTCATGTGTGTGGTACATCTGAGGACCTAACAAGGAAGAGGACTCAGGCCCCCCAGCTGGTGCTGACGGGTGCCCCCACCACTCCCAGATAGTCGCACACCGATCCGCTCGAGGCTGGGGCACTCACCCCAGCTGCAGCTGGTGACAAACGACCGAGGCGTCAGCGTCATCCCAGTGGCTGCTGCAGACTGCGCCCCAACCTCCATGGGCGTACACTTCCACTGTGCCTTCAAACTCATTTCTGCCACCACGAAGTCGTACCGACCCTGAAGTGGAAAAGAATCCCCAAACCCTTTAACAGCAAAGAATCATCCGAACGTCCGAACCAGTCTTCGTGTACATGCCCCCCCCGCGAGCCGGACAGGGGCCCAGTCAGAATGACTGGGCCTTCACTGTTCATCGTACGTCCTGCTCTCTTTAAATGAGATGTTAGCGGCTTTGACGTTGTTTTTAGTTTTTTGGGCTTTTTTTTGGTAATTAACATGCTGATGTCAACATTGCTCATTTTTTATCTAGGCAAACAGAAAGTCCAATTATAATTTTACAAGGGGCAAAGTGGAAGCGTATGACTAACGCTTGATACCGCGTCCCAAGTATCAGATGACGTCACACAGGGAGTTATCACTTACGTATCCCCTCATCTTCGCATGAGGTCATGGCAGTTTTTTTTTTGGTAATTAACATGCTGATGTCAACGGTGCTCATTTTTTATCTAGGCAAACAGAAAGTCCAATTATAATTTTACAAGGGGCAAAGTGGAAGCGTATGACTAACGCTTGATACCGCGTCCCAAGTATCAGATGACGTCACACAGGGAGTTATCACTTACGTATCCCCTCATCTTCGCATGAGGTCATGGCACAAGAGCAGAAACAAAGTCCTACGCTCTGCTTGTAGCTCAGCTGGCATTGCCTGTGCTACATCTTCCTTCTACCTGACTTGTTCTTCCACTAAAAAAGAATAAAATGCTTTCTCCCTCGTACTCCAAGTAGTAGTCATGACAATTCCAAAGATTATGTCTAGGATTCCAAAGAAGTGTCAGTGCTGAAAACACGGCCTGTCAGCGTTAGGGAAGCTGCCGCTAGGTCGAGTGGCTGGGTGTACTTGGACTCCCCGGAGACTCCCTTCTCCTTACGCTGCACCCCCGCGCAGCCCCCCTGTAGTTCACGATCCTTTTCAGTCTCTAAAAGAGCGAAAATTTAAATTCAAGCGCCCCTGGAAAACAGCATTTTAAGTTCTGTTCATTAAGTGCGGGTCGAGGCCCTGGATTTCCCTTCTTCTGTTTGGCCCTGGTTTGCAGAGCGGGTGCTGAGGGCAGCGACTGGACACTTTAAGCAGAGATGGCATCAAACTCAGACAACTTAAGAATTTCACACAATCCTGTGAAAAGTCACTTAGGATGGGCTTTATTCCATGTGTAAAGAAATTAAGAAATCAAGTTTTACCAAAAAAATTCTGGTATATTTTGCAATGTTCCAAATTTATTATGTATGGCTTTAAAATAAGTTTCCAAAAATATGAGATTCACAAATAATCCATTCGCTTCACTTACACTAGCCTAGTCACCTGTCACTGTTACTTTCCACATCATCATCCTTAAGAACGGTAACTGTTTAAGACGAACATACCCTAAATATGTTTACATACAAGCACATATTTCTCATGACAAATATAGCGTCCTTCAATTCAAACAAAGGGCAAATGACAAAGCATGGCGCTGCCGAACCCTGACTATGAAGGGGAGACAGGGCACGGTCCCCCGCACGGCAGATGACACCAAAACCGTGCGCATATTCTAAACCTCTTAAATCCGGACTGAGCAAGAGGAAGCCTGTCGAGCTCAGGGAGGTGTGAACTGTAGAACGTTTTTGTGTAGATCATGTCTGAAGAGTTTAACAGAACTTTAATGATTTTTTAATCACAAAATCTCTTCTATAGATACCCACATAGTATTATGCATATCAAAAATGCCAGCAGTTTATTGCAAGGAATTCATTTTTTTACCTCAAACAAACATTATTTGAAATAATATTTAATCTACTGTCTTTATTAATACTCTGCCCACCAAATCGCTCACGTCAAAGGGTGGGAAGAAAGTTTCTAGCAGTGAAAACAAAACTGGAACTCTACTTATACAGGTTAAATAATCATAATAAAATGTAAAAGAGTGTCTCAACCTCTAAAGGCTATCTGGAAGAAACGATGCACACATATCATCTCAACGATTAAGGCGTTTAGAGATGAGGAGAGAACTCTGCACAGAGCACGACTGTGACCGACGTCGGTCAACGGCCATGACAGAGCTGGAAATCGCTTCCAGCCAACCCCCAGCCCCGCCATCATGTCTCAGAAGCTGCACACACCTCGAAAGCCAGAGTGAGTATTTCCTAATGGCATATAATTCTATAAAGTTCACAATTCTTCTGAAATTTTTTTGAAAGAGCATTTTAAAAAGCAGTATAATAATACGCTCCAAAATAATGAAGCGTGAACGTACCATTTACAGTATATACACTTAAGGCGGGTGGTAGTTTTGTTTGTTTTTAGTTTTACTTTGTTCTTGCTTCAGTTTTCTCTTGGATCAGTTGACGTGGTTGAGACCTTAAAGACTGTGACTCATTTCCCTCAGTTTACGGACGGGGAAGCTGTGAACCAAACCACCTGAGCAGCTGCAGAGCCACGACCACCGTCTCCCAGGTCACCCCTGCTACTGTCTCCCATCTCTGAGCCCGAGCAAAGACCCTGCAATGTAATGAGCACCTGTTACTACTCTAGCTGTCACCCTATGCGTTACGCCATGTTAGCTTTCACCGTTCCGTGTGAAACACTGCAACGCATCCACCGAACATTAGAAACTCACCATCAGAAGCATGAGACAGCCTTCAGCGTTTCTGTGCCAGACAAACAGGACAGAATGCTTTCTGTCACTCTACACTTGAGGCCGGATCCTCCAGGGGGGCCGATGTGTCCCTGGGCTGTACGAATGTGTGGGTAGACCATACATTGCCACAAATTTATAGGTGCACGGATTACAAGGTGGAGAAGGGGAAATATCTTTAGCTCGGCGAAAAAAAAACGAAAAGTGTGAAACAATAAACCAATCCGCAAGGGTCACAGTCTGGCAAACTCACAGCTACAGCCACCCTGCTAACAACGACGTTCCGGACAAACTCCAGACCAGGGACTTTGTCGGGCGCATCCCGCTCAGCTGTCATCGCCGTGTATGATCTAAACTTGATCGCCCTCCCCGTTCGCATGCCCTACTCCAGCCGAGCATTCTGCCCATGCTCGCCGCAGTCTGGGCCCACGTCTCCGGGCCACACCCAGGGGACCGGGGCACGCTGTCTTCAAGTCTCTCGGGTGCTACTTTGACGGAAACTATTCTATTCCAAATAGTCCTATTTTTAAAATGTGTTAATAATAATAATTTAAAATGTGAAGTCTCAGACAGAGGTTTTAGTCAACTATAATAGGCGTAACAAATTTACGGACCAAAGCAGCAATAGAAGAGTCTGGACTGTCAGGCTATGTGCGACAGCGTGCCAGAGAGGGGAGTCCGCCG